GGAATACAGTCAATCGGGGGTTATTAAGCGTACGTTGCTGTTACAAATTGATGTAATTGTGTATTAGTATGTAGCTACTTCTTTTTACGCGAAGAATTGCGTTAAATGGCGCATTACCGCGTAGGAAATTTATAGCAACGATAATGGAATAAAGTCGTGACACGGTTATTGTTTCCTCTAATCTCTGGAGATTTTGGTGCTCGCCCAATTGACATTCGTTGAAGGAGTTTAAAGTTCCCGCGGAATTTCATACGATCCAACAAAGTTAGCGTTTCGCCGTGATCAACCTTTATTTTACGTGATCAGAATTCGAATTTACCATGCGTCTAATTTATCATTTACTCGCGACGTTATTCTAAACATCTTCCACTGATTTATTGTTGTACGTTCCTCGATCGTACGAAGTTATTTTATTCTATACAGTCGGTCACGAGAAACAGGACCCAAAATATTTTCGATATTTGAGCCGTTTATTTTGAAAGTGGCCTAAGTCCATTTATCTTCAAATCGAGATATTTAAGGGTTTGCGTTTCAATGAATTTAAAAATATACGTATAGGATACTAATGAGTCATACTGCTTAAGTATATCTAAGGGTGTTAAATTTATAGTTCCAATTAAAATAGTGGCAATTATTAAGTGAATAATATGCGTTTTCTTATCAAGAATGGAGTTAGTCCACTTTCAAAATTAACAACCGGATTCATTATAAAATTTGAAGGTGCCCAAGTCCATTCAACATAATTTAAGATGCTTCAAATTGAAAAAAACAATACTGAATTTATTTTACATATCTTTAAAACACTTCGGAAACATAATTTATGCGATTCAAAACATTTTTTAACTACATAACGTACAAAATTACAAACATAAATTTATTACAAAACAATTTACTACTCATCTACATTTTGTGCGTGTGAAAGGGATTTGAAGAAATCATGATGTTCCGGTGGTATATATCGTAATAGGTCAGTTATGTCCTTGAATTTTGCTGTTGTAATTTGTCTGATATTTTTATACAGTGGTGTCAATACAATATTTTCGAACTTTCTTGGTCTACCCTGACGTGGTAATAAATTCAGGACTTTAAAATTTTCATTCTCATTCATTGATGTCTTATAGAAAATTTTATACGGTTCATTTCTGACAAAACGCATCCAACATATTTTTAACCAGTTTATTGATTCTCCATGAGAATTATTCAACCAACGCAATTGTCCAAAAACTGAGGTTAACTTGTAAATACTGATTAATTAAAATTACCTTCATCACTACTTTCCGACATTATCAATAGTAAATATCTTGATTTAAGTATAAATGGAGTTAGGCCACTTTCAAACTACACGGTTCAATTATTGAACTAACTCTGAAAACTTATGTGTCAAGAATTATCGTATTTGCTCGGAATATAAGCAACCTGAAATGCTTTACTGATAAATAACATGAAGTTGTACATGTAACCATGGTAACCGGAAAAAATTGAAAAATGGAGTTAGGCCACTTTCAAAATAAACGGCTCATTTATAAGTGTATTAAAAAAGTTTTACTGATCTTTTAGGGTTTCTTTTTAATATAATCATGTATTTTTCATTACAGTACGCCGACATCAATACGAATTTATCATACTTGAGGTGATATTCGACTGTGAAATTTTCTAAAAAAGTTTTCTAAGTTACAACGACACGTTCGGTATTTTTATTAGGAAACTATTTCTAAACGTACATTTTTGAATATTAAATGTTCAAATCGTTGGATTGGACGTAACAAACCAATATCATTACCAGCACGTTCGGCTAATCTTACTCCACTTGATTTCTTCTTGGGGGAAAATTGAAAGATGATGTCTACCGCGAGGAACTAACCACTCCAGCGAACACGAAAGGAAAAATAATTGTGTCTTGTGCGAGTATTTCGTCAGAAATGATTGATAGAGACGTCCGAAGCCTTATTGAATGATTGCACGCGTGTATTAGTGCTGAAGGTCATCATTTTGAACATTTCGTGTGATTCAAATAAGGTAATTTTACATGATAATGCTTTCGTTAATTAGACTTAAATTTCACACTCAGAGGTCACTTCAAGGTCATAGTATGCTAGGTCGATAAATTCGTATTGATATCGGTTACAATGAACTATAATAAAAAATACCTGATTACATTTTTTAAAAATTTTCAAAGAAATTTTTTTCTATCATTAAATGCATTTCTTCAAACAATGAACTTTTATTTTTAGAATTCTTTTGATATAACTATAAATAACGGAAATATTTAGGAGTCCTCTTTCTCATGACTCATATACATATATAGTAAATATAATAAAATGAAACAGAAGTGTTCTGGGTAGACGTGCTACTATCGATAATATCAAAAATATCGTTATGATATCGATATACTGTTTATTAGCACTGATTTCAAATGGGGCGTATGTTGTATTTCCAAACCCAATTAACTAAGAAAAAATAACGATCTACCGATTTTCAGGATTTTAAGCAACAGAATCAGTTTGTTCCGAAAGACAAAACACACTTATATTTAAGTAAATTGACTATTACAATACATGAATCGAATAGACTACTTGGAGGAAATTTTCCTTATGTATACAATTCCTACAGTTTCAGATCCTTGATACAAGAGCAGTGTATTTTACACGAAATGATATATTAAAAGTCATTCAACAAATACAATAATTACGAAAATAATTTCAATCTGCAGCATCTGCAATCATTATATAAAGTAGAAGCTTGAAAATCCGGAACAAGTGTACTGTTGTAACCGTCACCGAGGGAAAGTTAGTCATTTTCTTAGGAAATCTTCCACATACTTGAGTAAGAAACCTCACGTATCTATATTGCAATCTGTCTTGAGTTCTGAATTTTCTTCGATTCATCTAATCTCACCTTAATTAGATCCATTGGCTGATAAATATTTAGTGTTTTGAATTGTCAATCGACGATAGACCAAAGTAAATGCGATTTTAGTAGGACATCGTCTTTAAGGACTGCTCGATCGAGTCGCTGAATTTTCTCACAGTTTCCGTCAGCTGGCCCATACGCGTTGTGGATATTTCTGTCATCTGAATTTTTAAAAAATATTTCTCACGCTTCGACAGACATTGATCATTGTAATTTTAATTCTACTTCTAAGTTGATTCAATATGGCTAACAATAAGCGTAATAATTATTATGAAACAAACATGTATATCATTATATTTTAAGATTTTACACGTTGTCGCAAACCACACCATACTTTTCGATACAACGCTTACTACCTACACCTGCAGAATCACTTCCTTATGCATTTTATTATTATTTTCAACAACCTTATTAATAATGATACTTAATGAATTATTTTTCGTCAATCTAGTACTTTATGTTAATATTTTATGACGAGTACTTCAAAATCTGAAGACAAACATGAACAAAATTTCGAATAACAAATAAAAGATAAAAAATTTGTATTTGTTTAGCAAAAATAACAATTTTAATTACACAACTAGTGTATATTTTATTATTTGAATAAAATTCTGTCCATCTTTGCCTAATGACAAATGAATCCAGAATTTCAATTTTTTTCAAACTCTGTCCAAAATAAAAATTGTTCATTTCTATCAGTTTTTGAATGAATAGACGTTTAAGCGTCTATTTCTGAAGCACTCTGTACAGTAATCAGAGACTGTACAATCTCAGAAGTTCTGTATCTATACGAAGTAAATATAATAGTCATTCCTAGAATCGAATGATATCAGAGATAACGACGTGTCTTCTCACGCAGTTCTGTTTCCTTCTGATAGGGACTTACGTTACTCTATCTAACGGCATACAATATCAGTTCAAGAACACGCGTAACTGCTGTTACAGTCTATTTACTTATATGTTCGCTTGTTTCGTTAAGTTGTCTTCTCGTGTAAATTCTGCAAGCTATGATTTTCCTTTATCAATAAACCAGTTCGATAGCAAAAGGAGCACGCACTACAGTTTCTTTCCGCTGCATTACAGTTTCTTCGTAGATTGCACCGCGACTGTGGGAGGAGAGGGGGTTGTACCTGGCGTGATGGTGAACGTTAACGAGCCACTATCGTATGTTAATTCTAAGCAACGTTAAAACCAGGAATTCCAATATCGCGATGGACCTTACTTTTTCCGCGAATGTTGTTTACATATCGCGCCATCGAAGGAAAATTGACCCGCCTCGATGTTCTTGGAATCTAATTGGTACCGTGGCAGGTAATATGCCATTAAGTAAAACATGTGGATTTATAGGTCGTAAGGGCAAGATACATAAAGGATACTGTAGTACACGACATGGTCCTTCGAGCCGGATCGCAGTAAATTAGTACTGTGATTTATGATACTGTGCTTAATTAAGAGCAATTATCAAACATAACAATCTGAAGTGAAGTGCAACGTAATCATCTATTATTTTAAAAATCGAAGAGCAGTCATTTTGATCGCTCATTTATTGAATCATATCAACGACTGTGGACATTTATCGGATGCAATAAGCATTCATCGGAGTTCCTTGGCGAGGAATCATAAGTGGCAATATTATATTGTCAAACCATTGGTGAGGACAACGAGGTCGACGGGTACACCTGTATCAGCGTTGGACAATTCCTGCGAAGCGGCGTACCTGCAACCAGCGAACCTACAACCGGCGGGCCTGTAACCTGCGGACCTGTACCACCGGCTAACAACCCCGGAACCATCTGGACACCGAAAGGGCTCCAGCGAGTGACGAATTCAACATTCTACCTGCAGTTGGGGCAATTGAAACCGAAGGAGGACAGAGTCGATTCTATAAATTATGGCGTTAGATTTAAAATCTCTTGCTAAGCAACGTACGGTGCTCAAGGCACAAATTACGCGAATAAAAAATTATGTAAGGGATGCAGGAGAATTAGAAATGCACGCGTTAGAATTACGTAAGCAGAAACTTGAAGACCTTTTTGAAAGGCTGTGTTCAAAAGTTTTGGGAACTCGAGGAAATCCCTCAAAAAAGGTTAATGTCGCGAGAAGAGAAATTATGCGAACTATCATTTCAAGATACAACCCAGCGCGATTCGTCGGGTCACTTTATGGTGAGATTACCATTTAATGATAGAAGGGGCGAGCTAGGCGATTCATATGAAAGTGCGCTAAAACGATTCTACGCGATGGAACGTAAACTTCAATTGAATACCGAATTACGCGAAAAATATGTAGACTTCCTGGAGGAATATCAAAGGTTAGGTCATATGACAGAAGTAACAAATGTAGCAGCTAAAAATTCTGGATGCTACTTGCCGCATCATGCAGTAGTCAAAGATAGTAGCCTTACAATGAAGGTACGGGTAGTTTTTGATGCATCCGCTAAGACCAATACGGGAATATCTCTGAACGATACGCTTATGGTAGGCCCGACAATCCAGGAAGATATTTTTGCTTTAATTACGCGCTTTCGATCGCACGTGTATGTACTAACCGCTGACGTCGAAAAGATGTTTAGGCAAATAAGACTGCATCCAGATGATGCAATATATCATCAAATATTGTGGCGGAAAAATCCTACTGAAGCAATCAAGACATACCAATTAAATACTGTCACCTATGGGACTGCATGTGCTCCATTTCTCGCAGTTCGTTGCCTAAATCAACTAACAAGTGATAGTGAAAAATCATTCCCCTTAGCAACAAACGCAATAAAACGCGATTTTTATATGGACGATCTTCTAACCGGCACACAAACGCTAAACGAGGCTATAGCTCTACGTGATCAACTAGTCGAAGCCTTAAAGACGGGAGGGTTCAATTTGCGACAATGGGCATCGAATGAACCTTCATTAATTGCAAATTTCAAAGAGCTCGCTTCGGAAGAATTTTTATTTTTAGATATGGAAACGGTAAAAAAGACTCTCGGCATTTATTGGCGTCCACGCGATGATTCGATTAGCTATAAAGTAACTATTACTGATCAGGGATCGCAAATAACGAAACGAACTATTTTTTCAAATATAGCTAAATTGTTTGATCCTTTAGGCTTGCTTGGACCTGTGGTGGTAAAAGCAAAGCTAATAATGCAAGAATTGTGGAAACGCGGTGTAGGATGGGATAACACTGCTCCGTCGGATATATTATCGTTATGGAATATATATATGTCACAATTGCCTGTACTTAACAATTTTGTGGTGCCACGCCAAATTATCGGAAATAACACACTGGAATGCCGGTTACACGGTTTTTGCGATGCAAGTGAAACTGCGTACGGAGCATGTATTTATTTAAGGTGTACAGATGCCAAGAAGGGCACTACGACAAATCTAATAGCAGCAAAGTCTCGCGTAGCTCCGTTAAAAACGATCACAATTCCAAAATTGGAATTATGTGCTGCTGAATTGCTCAGTATCGAGCAGTCGCGGAAGCATTAAAAAGGCCCTTAAGCGCGGTTCATTTTTGGTCCGATTCAACAATAGTGTTAGGATGGTTAAATTCACCACCGCACACTCTAGAAACCTTTATAGCGAACCGCGTTGCAAAAGTACAAGAGCGTACTAATGCGAAGGATTGGAAACATGTAGCATCATCGGACAATCCCGCAGATTGTATATCTCGCGGACAATTACCATTAGAATTTCTCGAAAATCATCTCTGGTTAAATGGTCCAGTATGGTTATCCGAATTGCCATCAAAGTGGCCCATAATACCAATCCCTGTCAAAGATATACAAGAGCTTCGAGTTACGCTAGTTAGTTGCACAAGTCAAATAAATTATTTCGAGTGTTTTTCCTCGTTAACAACCGTACAGCGAGTAACAGCATATTGTTTTCGTTTTTGTAAAAATGCCTTAAAGCTAGAGTCAAATACGGGGCCATTATCGGTTTTCGAGCTTCGAAGAGCTCAGGATAGTATCATTACGAATATCCAAAGAACTCATTTCACGCGAGAATTTCAGGAGTTAAATACCAAGGGCATGGTTTCTAAAACCAGTAAATTGTATGCACTGTCTCCTTTTATCGAACACGGTATCATTCGCGTCGGTGGTCGCCTACAAAATTCAAACATTAGATATTCGCAAAAACATCCGATTCTTCTGCCTAAGTCTAATCACGTGTCATATCTCATTATTCGTAACGAGCACCACCGCTGTATGCACGCAGGTATATTGGGAACGTTAAACGCTGTGAGGCAAAGGTATACTGGCCCATTGATGGCAAAAATACAGTAAGGCACATCATTCGAAATTGCGTTAAATGTTTTAGAGTTAATCCGCAAAGTACACCAGAGTATTCAATGGGTAAATTACCGAAAGATCGTGTAAATTCAGCAAGACCGTTTCAAATCGTCGGGATCGATTTTTGCGGTCCATTTTATATTAAAGAGAAAAAATTCCGCAATACAAAGAAATTAAAGGTTTGGATTGCCGTTTTCATATGTTTCGTAACAAAGGCAATGCACCTCGAAGTTGTTAGCGATTTGTCAACCGATGCGTTCATTGCTAGCTTGAGAAGATTTTTTAGTAGACGCGGTTATGCTCACACCATTTACTCTGATAATGGTACAAATTTTGTAGGGGCTAGAAATAAATTAACCGAAATGGAAGAATTATTAAGGTCCGAAGAACATCGACATGTAGCTATCAAATATTTAACCGACAAGGGCATTACATGGCATTTCTCACCTCCAAGATCTCCTCATTATGGAGGACTATGGGAAGCTGCCGTTAAGTCATTTAAGTATCATCTACTTCGTACAATAGGAGATATTCTGTTTACCTACGAGGAGTTAAATACGTATGTTGTAGAGATTGAAGCGATTTTAAATTCACGCCCTATAACACCGATTTCTTCCGATCCCAATGACTACATAGCCCTTACCCCTGCCCATTTCCTAATAGGTGAGTCTTTGATTGGCTTACCGGAGCAAGACGTGTCTGCCATCGCGAATAATTGACTGTCCGTTTGGTGAAACAGCATTTTTGGACCAGATGGTACAAGGACTATTTGAATGAACTAAACATTCGCGCCAAATGGCGTAACAATCCATCGTGCAATTTAAAGGTGGGAACGTTAGTGCTCCTTAAAGAGGAAAATCTGCCACCTATGCGTTGGAAATTAGGGCGAATTAGTGAATTGCACCCTGGTGATGATAAAATCGTGCGAGTAGTGACTGTAAAAACTACCGACGGAGTTTATAAGAGAACTGTAAAAAAAATTTGTCCTTTACCGATTAACGATTCAATAAGTAATATATAAAGACAACGCGTTTAACTATGGTATGACAATCATGAATATCATGAAGTGAGCTGTATGATTATTAATCTTGGATGCATGTGTGTTTATGTTAATCTAATTTGGTTATTTATTTTACTATTTCTCATTGCGTGTAGCTATAACATAGAGAATTTAATCCATTTAGCATAAGGTTTGTTAGAATCAAGGGCTCGTTTTTAATTATACGTATATACTAACGTTTTACTTAATACGCTAAACATTAAGATAATCATACATGGTTGTACATTAGTTTGGTATTCTCTTGTTTTAGAAAGTCTTGCACCTTACAACAATCTATTCGTAAACCGAAACTTTCATCAATTTTTCTTCTCCCTTTTTTTTCTCTTTTGAACTAAATAGTTCAAGGGGGCCGGTATGTTGCGTCGCATACTCTCGAGCGTCCCGTCGCGACGCAATAAAATACGTAGGGTAGGCCCAAGTGTTAGGGCCCAATCACTTGCTCGCCTGTTCATTAGGCAGTTTTCGTCGCCTGGGCAAGTGGTACCCTCAAGGCCAAACGTCGGCTAGGTGGTTGGAGGCGCCGCTCGACCACCCATATTTCCCACATGTTTTCACTTACCCTGGTGTCCTCTTAACCGACTTTCCTTTTCCAAAACAGCCCTATGCATACCTCCACTCCTTTTCCTAGGTCCCAGCCTACATTTTTCCCCAACTAGCCAATCCTGATAAACCACTCCCAATTTTCAATTCCGACTCCGGCGTCTCCACCCACCAAAATTAGGTATATAAGGTAGCCCGCGAGCTACGACCGATATCACTCTAAAAAATCCGAAAGAGATTACTTCTAAAATCCGAAGATCAGTAAGATCCAAACAACCATTGTCAAAGTTCCCCGCCGTGGAGTTCAATCGCACTTCACGCAATAAATAATTTAAAAACCCCACCAGCTTATACTTCTTCGTCGTGAGCCAACCATACCAGTGTTGTCGCGACGTACACGACAGATACGTTTCTATTTCACTGTTTAGTCGATTTGACCGACTTTGCGCTGTCCTCTTTAGGAATTAACAAAAAAGAGAAAATCAACAGAAACGTATACGTAATATTTTGTAACACATGCTTTAATATTATTTTAATTCAAGATAATGTATTAATTACAGTATTTATCGCGTGGTTTAAGCGTGCAACGAATTAAATTTAATTTACTTTACATAATATGTTTAACCTAATTTTTTTATTTAAATTTAACTCTCTCTAAAATTGTTTACAATTTGCACAAATAACGTATAATTGAAAAGATATGTGAAGTAACCATCATTATCCACGAATCTATTTTGCTCAAAATAAAGAGAAAATTTCACCATGCTCGTTTAAAATAATTTTTGTTTTAGTATTGATAATGTAAACAGAGGGTTATAAAACGCGTTTTTCCATCATCAATACTTTTTCCAATCATGCTTCTCTTCGTTATTCGTCAAAAAGTAAACACGTGTACTTGTAAAACAGCAAAGAAACAATATATTATGCAGGATGTTCAGGCACCCCTGGGAAAAATTTTAATGAGGGATTCTAGAGGCCAAAATAAGAGGAAAATCAAGAATACCAATTTGTTGGTGGAGGCTTGGTTAAAAAGTTATTAACGTTTACAGTTCCGCCCATACTGAATTTTTTTTCTCGAAAATGTGCAGGATTTCGGGGGTATGATTATTCACAAAAAATGATTGTAATTAATCCCCGTAACCGAAAATAATTTTTCCAGGCGATTTGAAATTTTTTTTTCGTGAAAAAATTTACGCACCTACCTCCTTGTCGATTTTTCATAAAAATTCGTTTTCCATTTTTAATAAATTTAGTTGTCGCTGTACACAAAAGTTGTTAAATATTTTTTTGTAGGTATCCATGAACTCTACTCCCCTACTAAATTTCAATGAGATACGTTCACTATTGTAGGAGTTATGGCTGTTTGAAAATTGGACCACTTTTATGGGGTATTTTCAGGTCAAAATTCAACTTTTCGAATATTTTTGCAATTTATACATATTATTCACCAAAATATGCGTTGTTTGCATTTCGAAACATTAAAATCGTCCAATACGTTCAGGAGTTATAATGTTTTATATTAATTTCGGGGAATCATTTCAGACCTCAGATTATATTTTCGGTAAGGAATTTTTCTCTTGATAGTGGGTAGGATTTCGGGGGTATATCTATCGACCAAAATGATTGTAATCGATCCCTGCAACTAAAAATAATTTTTCTAGAATGATTTGAAATTGTTTAATTTCGCCGAAAAATTTCCCGGTCGGCATGGAACTTTAAACATTAATAACTTTTTAACGAAGCTTCAATCAAGAAATTGGTATTCTTGATTTTTGTCTTATTTTGGCCTCTAGAATCTTCCATTCAAATTTTTCCCAGAGGTGGCCGAACACCTTCTATAATAACAAGGTACGTATGTAAAAGGTATACCTAAACAGACTCTAAACTACGTATGAGAAAGTTAGCGATTGAAAATTATTTATTATTAATTTTCTGAGCGCTCTACTATTCGAACAAAGTGTGTCCACGTAGGGGATTCTTTTCTTTATTGAAACATATTTTCATAACAGTAGAAATTAATTGTCACGAAAATTTAGTACGCATCAGATGATAGTCCTGAAAATGTGAAATTAATCAAATTATAATCATAATAAAATTCCAAGATAACGTTTCAGCTGCATCTAGCCCCGATCGCGTTCTAACTTGAATTAGAATTATATTTTGTAATAATTTTAAAACTTTGACTGAACAGTTTCAAGTAGGTACTCATTACGATATTAACGATTTCTAACTTCAAAATGGTCTTCCTGTTTCCAATTCCATCGAAATTAACGTATCTTTCTAATGTAAAAATCAACGAGTAATGTTGATGAAATAAACGAAAGATAGAAGACCGGTTGATGTTCCCACATAAATAATAACCGTTTCTAATCGATGAATAACATGGATACAACGCGTAGACAAAGACGCCAGAGCAAACAGAGACGTTCGGTCGATCTGTATAACATCGCCCTTCGGTTCACCTGAAAAGATCGTTAATCTTCAAAGAGATGATAGTTATATTGTCCTGTCACGGATACGGAGGATTGTCGTTCGTGTTCAGACGGGGAGAACGGAAGATAATGCCGCGGAAAAACGTTCCTTTTTTCGCGTGTCGAGATGTAATTTGAATAAATCATGGATAAGTGGTTGGACGAAGGGACTGAAGGGAGAGGAACAGCCTGCGAATTCGGTACACCGCGAGTCCGGAGCGCCGTCGACGATGCGTCAGATTAATTTATCGTCGTAACGTCGTTTATTTCTTCAAAGCTTCGCGGCCGTAGAACGGCTATTGAACGGGGCCTACGGGAATATCTTCCGATTTTCTGACGCGATTCAACTTCCCCGCGATAATCACAGTTTACGATATGAATGGTGCCGCGCAACCAATCTCGCGGGATGCTAGCAAGCGTCCACAGGGTACACTAGAATAACAATTACAATTATTTCACTGATTCATTCAGTTTCGACGCAAACAAATTTTAAGGAGGCAGTTTCATGTGTAGGTTGCAAAATTTAACCACCTTTATTAATTTTTGTTAACTAAATGTTACATCTAACGCTATAATTTATTTTCGCAATTTACTTAACTATCCTTTGGGAATACAAAATAAACTTTTCATGTTTTTATTACGCCCACAGTAAACATATGCTTAAACACTGGCGTAGGTGATTGCAGCTCTCAAGGTTGACTAAATCAAAAAATCAAAAAGATTTTTATTCGGTAGGTTTCTTGTTATCGCCCGTAGCAAAATAATTCATTTATTTTGAAAATGGCAAAATGGCGACAGCTTAAATTAAAAGTTGCTAAATTTTGTCATTTTTTCTGCAAACTTTTTAATAAAAGTATACGATATACTCATTATAAAAATATAATTTTGGTACAGGTAAGAGCTATTCGTATGTGTAAAACAACGTGTACAACAACGTGTAAAAATTTCAAAGCAATCGAACGTATAATTTTTGAGATTTTATCTACGCCAGTTAAGAAAATAACATTTCGAGAGAAACGCATTTAAAGTCTGCAAGATCATACTAATCAATCCCAGCTTCATATATTGAGAATTCTTTCCAGAATATTGGCACCCAGATGGCACAAACGCTAGAATTTCGACTTTTAAAAACAGCAGAATTTCGAAACAGTAATGTCTGGGTTGTGAAGTAATAACTCCGGTAATTACCGCGAAAAAATATTCTACAATCCACAATACTTGACATTTATCTCTCAAAATTTAACAGTACATTCTTAAATATATATAGTTTCAAAAAATGAAATAAAAAACAATTAATTTTGTTGAGGTCTCACATAAGACTGCACCCTTAAAAAATTAAGTGCAATATTTAAGTTTAATTCGAAACGTTTTGACTCTATTTCGAGTTACCTTCAGTTTGACGAAATAAAATACAAAGGATATAAAAATTGTGTACTTTAAGAAATGTTGGTATTACTAATAAACTATTATTCATAAGTGAATAGTGCAAGAAAAAAGTTGTTGAAAAAGAAAAGGAAAGAAGAAGAAGAAAGGGTGAAAGCTCTGATGATAATGAGTCGCCATGTTGGCTTTTCTAATGGCACTTTAATGCTCAATTCGGCCCTTAAAGGTACGAATGGCTCCATTTAAGATCATTTAAGAAGACTAC